CCAAGCCGCTGACTCCGCAGGAGCATGGCAAGGGCAGGAGGACATGGGGAGAGCTGGGGGCAAGGGCAGGAGGACATGGGGAGAGCTGGGGGCAGCCAGGCCCTTCATGGGCTTGTGCTCACCTACCTGCTGGACAGTCAGGTTCACAAATGAGTTTCCTTCCAAACCCAACTACTCATCTTCCCCTCCACCAGTGTGCAGCTCTCGTCCCCACCCCACAGGGCATCAGAAGCTGGGTCCACTGTGATCCTCCCTGTCCCAGTCTTTCTGGGGACGTTGCATCCACTTCTCACTAGGCCCATCGGAGGCTGGGGCCTGACCTCCTCAGAGTGGGGACCCATCCGCGCACGTGGTGGAGGTACAGAAATGACAGGAGAAATCCTTCTAAAGAGAGCGTTTTAGGAGAGTTTCCCCTTTCCTCTTACCATTTCTAACCCCTTGGACTTTCTCCTCACTCTCCAAGTCTTGGAAGTTTTCATATGTCATTGTCAAGCTCGGGCCAGCACGGCTCTGAGGTTGTCACCTGAAACGGAGGCAGGGCCGGTGCCCAGGCTGGGGCAGAGCTGGGGCATAGGAGGTTGGGACTAGGTTGGAGCCAAGGGCAGGGCTGAAGTTGAGTTGGGAGATGAGGTTCAGGTTGAGAATGGGCCCAGGGTTAAGGCTAAGACGGAAATGGGCCTGGGTTTGCAGTTGAGATAGAATTGGGGTCGAGATGAGTTTGGGAGTGAAACTGGAGGGTAACGTTGGAGCTAAATGCATTGCTAGGACTGCCCAGTGGGCCAGTAATCAGGCAGGACTGGAGATTGTGTCTCATGCTAGGATTGGGATCGGTATGCAAGTTGGAGCCATGGATGGAATTGGGGTTAAGTTTGGTGCTGAATTTGGAAATAGAATAGAATTGAGGTTCAATTTTGGCTTTGGGTTGGTGTTAATATTCAAGTTGAATATGGAGTTGGGGTTAAAGTAGGAGCTGGGTCGGGGGCAACAGGTGTGGTGGCTCATGCCTGTAATCCCAGCACTTTGTGAGACCAAGGCAGACACATTACTTTAGGTCAGGAGTTTGAGACCAGCCTGGCCAACATGGTGAAACCCCATCTCTACTAAAAATACAAAAATGAGCCGGGTGTGTGGTGCACACCTGTAATCCCAGCTACTCGGGAGGCTGAGGCAGGAGAATTGCTTGAATCCAGGAGGCTGAGGTTGCAGTGAGCGGAGATAGTGCCACTGCACTGGATCCAGCCTGGGCGACACAGTAAGACTCAGTCTCAAAAAATAATAATAATAAAGTAGGAGCCAGGGTTTGTATTGGGGTTAGGGCATGGCTGGGCTGGGGCTGAAGATAAAGCTTGAAATTGGCCCGCCATGAGGCTGAGTTTGAGTCTTAGTTGATTTTTATTTTTATTTATTTATTTATTGAGACAGAATTTCACTCTTGTCACCCAGGCTAAAGTGCAATGAGGCCATCTCGGCTCACTGCATCCTCCGCCTCCGGGTTCACGCGATTCTCCCACCTCAGCCTCCCAGAGTCGTAGTTTATGACAGGGGATTGTGGCTGCTGTAACCCAATCTAGAATCCAGTGAAGGGCGTAGAGTCTCAAATCTTCACATAGTAATTAAATCCCTTTAATTAAATGTAGTAATTAAATGCCACCTTATATCTATTTTCATTTAGTCCCACCCAAGACCCAAAGTCCCCCTCGCCCTGCTTCCTCTGATATCCCCTGTCCCCTGGGTCTCACCGGCTCCCACAGCACCATTACCTGTGGGAGGTCTGGAGGCTGTGATTCTCACGTTGGTTGTGAAGTAAGGACCAGAGTTGGGACGTCACTCAGAGTTGGAAGCGCTGTGTCCTGGAGAGCTGGGGTAGAGGTGACTGGAGTCCTGCTGGTCTTCAGTCTGAAATCCCAGGAGCCCTATCATCTGGGACACCCCATCTCCTCAACTTTCGACAGTAAATGAGAATGAACGGGGATTGGAACACACAGAGACCGTGTGTGGGTGGAGAGAGTTGGGTCTGAAGCCAGCTCTGCTCTCCTCCTCCAGGCCATGCCTACTTCCTTTTCTCTTTTTGGAGTTTCCTCATTTTTACCATCTGGGAGCAGGACTGGATAGAGGTACACAATCTGCTGTTGCTCCTCTACCCTACACTTCCTTTCACTTCCTGCCTCTACATTTCCCAGAATTGCTGTGTCTCCATCATCGCACCTCTGATCCTAGAGAAGCCCAGTCTGTGCTTTGGTTCAATCCTGGCCTGAGTCCCTGGCATCAGCATCCTCTAGGTCCCAGTCATTCAGCGGCTCAGCTCTGGCCTCACTCGTCTCACTCCACTCGGAAGGAGGGAAGGGGGTGACAGAGAATAGAACTTCTTGGCCAGAATAGGAAGGGAGAAGCCAAGGAAAACGGCAAACTTTTATTGAGTATCTAATCTGTGATGGGATTATGCCAGACACTTACCTTCCACAGACATTCCCCGCAAGCACCGGGGGAGGCATTTTGGATGATGGGCTAAGGCTCAGAGCCCAAGATCACACACAGCTTGTAAGGAGAAAGTTTGGCACCCTGCTCTGGCTCTCAGCACAGGCGCTGTTTTCATGAACAGGATTCCATTTCATCCCAAGATCCCTGCCCAGCCCCTCAGGGAGCTGCCCTGAGTCCATGCACACATCCCTTTGAGTAGCAAGGAAACTGAGTATCTTACAAGGTGGAGAAGGAGGAGAAGAAATACATTTTAGGTTATATTTTCTATGTACATGGGGTTGTGTTCTGCTGTGTGCTTTTTTTTTTTTTTTTTTTTTGGAGTTAACAATCTATGAGGAACATTTCTCCGCATCAGTTTATAAAATGTACTTGATCTACTTGCACCTCATTTCATCATAGGCATCATAATTTATTTATTTAGCATTTCTCTATTGACAGAAACCAGAAATTTAAATTGTGTCTTTTTCTTTTCTTTTCTTTCTTTTTTGTTTTGTTCTGTTTTGTTTTGAGACAGAGTCTCACTCTGTCACCCAGGCTGGAGTGCAGTGGCACAATCTCGGCTCACTGCAACCTCCATCATCTCCTGGGTTCAAGCGATTCTTCTGCCTCAGCCTCCTGAGTAGCCGAGATTACAGGTGTCCACCACCATACTCAGCTAATTTTTGTAATTTTAGTAGAGATGGCGTTTCACCATGTTGGCCAGGCTGGTCTCTAATGCCTGATCTCAGATGACCCGCCCACCTCAGCCTCCCAAAGTGCTGGGATTTCAGGCGTGAGCCACCACACCCGACCAGGTTGTTTCTGGTTTTGTTTTTAGTTTGTATTTGGTATTTTAATTAGTATATGTTGCAGGTTATGTTTTTGGAAGCCAAGGTTGAGGCTGAATTTGGGGTGCGAGCTATTTATGAGGGATTAGCACTTCGAAAAGGAAAGTGGATGAAACGGTGCTGGGCAGAGGGAGAAGCACAGCACTTTGGAGCGTTTCAACCAAACCAACAGGGAGCTCTGGGTTCAAACAATGCCAGCCCTGGGAGCTGTCCAGCATTGGACTGCCTGCCACAGGGTCCTGTAGAGCACCACCTTCTTCAGTCACTGGCAGTCAACCCTGACATGGGTGTGACCTCGGGAAGCGGCTGTCTGCAGGTTACACTCCCCACGGTGGGTCACCACATCCTTCCTAGAAGGGGGACCTGGGTAGCTCTCTGTGTGTTTACCACAGTCTTGCAGTGTATTCACGTATTAATTTGGAGATAATCAACATTTTGACATAGATGAATCTTCCATGAAAAGAACATGGTATTATGATATTTCTCCATTCACTCACTTTTTTTTTCAGTCTGGTTCAGCAGGTTTGAAGCTTTTTTTTTTTTTTTTTTTTAAGTTCTGGGATACATGGCTGAACGTGCAGGTTTGTTACACAGATATACATGTGCCATGGTGGTTTGCTGCACCTATCAACCCATCACCTAGATTTTAAGGCCCACATGCATTAGGTATTTGTCCTAATGCTCTCCCTCCCCTTTCCTCCGACCCCCCAACAGGCCCCAGTGTGTGATGTTCCCCTCCCTGTGTCCATGTGCTCTTATTGTTCAACTCCCACTATGAGTGAGAACATGCGGTATTTGGTTTTCTGTTCCAGTGTTAGTTTGCTGAGAATGATGGTTTCCAGCTTCATCCATGTCCCTACAAAGGACATGAACTCATTCTTTTTTATGGCTGCATAGTATTCCATGGTGTACATGTGCCACAATTTCCTTATCCAGGCTATCATTGATGGGCATTTGAGTTGGTTCCAAGTCTTTACTATTGTAAACAGTGCTGCAATAAACACATGTCCATTCACTCTTACATGTATGTATTAATCCATTTGAGTACTTATTGAGAGTCTATGGTATGCCAAGCACTTTCCTTCCTAAGAGGCAGAGTTCAGGAGTTCAAAAGTGAGCAGACAAACACGGCCTGCCTTCATAGAGTGTGCCTTCTAGTGGGTGACCAATCAACAAAATAAATGAGTAAAATACCCGTATGTCACATGGCAACAGTGCTTTGTGGGAAAAGAGCAGGGATGTGAGATAGGGTCGATTTTTAATGTCCCTCAAGAATAGGGCCATTCTCACATTGCTCTAAATAAATACCTGAGACTTGGTAATTTATCAAGGAAAGGGGATTAATTGCCTCGTAGTTCTGCAGGCTGTGCAGGAAGCCTCTGCTCAGTTTCTGGGGAGGACTCAGGAAACTTGATGATCATGGTGGAAGGTGAAGGGGGAGCAAGTGCCTCACATGGTAAGAACAGGAGCAAGAGAAAGCCAGGGGATCAGATTTTAAATGACCAGATCTCACGAGAACTCCCTCACTGTCATGAGAACAGCACCAAGGAGATGACGCTAAACCATTCATGAGAAATCCACCCCGTAATCCAATTACCTCCTACCAGGCCCCACCTCCAACACTGGGGATCACAATTCAAGATGAGATTTGGGCAGGGACACAGATCCAAACCACACCAGAGTGTCAAGAAAGGCCTCACTGGGAAGGCAATATCTGAGCAAAGTTTGAAGGAGGCAAAGAAGCAAGTCACAAGGGGCTCTGGCAGGAAGAGTGATCCAGGGAGAGGGCAGAGCAGGTGTAAAGGCCCTGAGGTAGGAGAACGTCTGGTGCATATGAGGATCATCCATTTGACAGAGTTGCCAGAGATTTTATAGAGAAGTGAGTCAGGGAGGAGAAGAGTAGACAAGCGATGGGGGAAAATGTGGGCCTTGTTGGCTGTTATTAAGGATTTGTTTTTACTCTGAGTCAGAGATGCGGACTTTGAAGGGGTTGGAGCAGAGAAATGACATAACTTGACCTATATGTTAACTGTAACAGTGTGTCTTTTGTGTTATGAATTTGATATGAAGAAGAACAAGCTGGAAATGGGGGGTGAGGTAAGAAGCTGCTGTCATATCCAGGTGAGAAATGAGGTGGTCAGAAGTGTTGTGATTCTGGATATATGGTGAAGGTGGAGCAGACAGAACTTCGCTGATAAATTGCTTGCGGGTTTCATGAAAAAAATAGTTCTCCTAGTCCCCAAAATAAATTAAACATTGAGCATTTTCTATAAATTGCTGACTCCCTAGGAAAAACAAGTCTATCCCTGATGTTTGCAGTGCTGACGCCTGGGTATGTCATGACCTTTTGTGCGTATGAAAATCATGTGAGAAAAGCACTGGGTTTTGCCATCATGAGTAGACTGATAAAAACTTGCTTGCAAAGGTAATCTTGCAGAAATTCCCTTTCAATGCCTGTTGTGGTCTTAGTTTGGATTTCTTTGTCAGGTCCTGGCAAGCAATCTTCTTGTCTTTTCCTAAACGCTTCTGTTCCTGAGACCCCTTTCACAGTTGACAATGATCATTTCCCTCTTCCACCACATTTTCTGTGAATTCTTACCCTCTCCTAGAACCTCTACTGGTCAGGAATTTTTTTTTTATTTTTATTTTTATTTTTCAAGCTAGGAACAAGAGAAAGCACGCTCGTGCCACCAGTTCTCCATGAGATTCTTTCAGACCATACAGAAAGACAAGTGATTGGAACATGCGAAGGTTGAAAGCGAAAGAAAACTGTCATTATTGGTAAATGACATGATTGTCTACTTTAAAAATCTAAGAGAATCAGCCCCTCCTGGATTCAAGCGATTCTCCCACCTCAGCCTCCTGAGTAGATAGGACTACAGGCATGCACTACCACACCAGTTAAATATTTTATTGTGTAGAGAACAGACCTCACGATTGTTACCCAGCCTGGTCTCAAACTCCTGGCCTCAAGCAATCTTCCCACCTCAGCCTCCCAAGGTGCTGGGATTACAGGTGTGAGCCATCATGCCCAGCCTGTGTTTTCTTTGATAATTTTTATAGTTTCAGCTTTGATGTGTGTCTATGATCATTACGAATTATATTTTTTCATATATATACAGTTATTCCAGCACCACTTATTGAAAATACTTTTCTCCATTTAATTAACTATTTCTACCTATATAGTTGATAGAATTCATCAGAGAAGTCATCTGAAACTGGATATTTTCTTTGTTGAAAGATTTTAAATTGTGAATTTATTTGAATTCAGGTAAGTCTGTTCAGATTTCCTAATGCGTTTTTAGTTTTGATAATGTGTATCTTTCAAGTAATTTGTCCATTTTATTCTATTTATGGGCAAATTTGTTGGCAAAAACTTGTTCATATTATCCTTTTGATGTATGTAGGATATGTATTTATATTTTCTTTAATTCCTAACACTGGCAATTTGGGGGTTTGTTTCTTTGTTTGTTTTTGAGACAGAGTCTCACTCTGTTGCCCAGGCTGGAGTGCAGTGACATGATCTCGGTTCATGCAGCCTCTGCCTACCAGATTCAAGAGATTCTTGTGCCTCAGCCTTCCAAGTAGCTGGGATTACAGGCATGCGCCACCCTACCCAGCTAATTTTCGTATTTTTAGTAGAAATGGGGTTTTACTATGTTGGCCAGGCTGGTCTCAAACTCCCAACTTTAAGTGATCTGCCCACCTTGGCCTCCCAAAGTGCTGAGATTACAGGCATGAGCACTGTGTCCGGCCAACACTGGCAACTTATGTCTTCACACTTTTTTCTATCAATTTTATCAATTTTATCGATCTTTTCAGAAACAGTTTCTGGTGTCATTAATTTTCCTTATTTTTGTTTGTTTGTTTATTTCATTGACTTCTGCTCTTATTTTCTTCATTTTTGTACGTTGGATATAAACATCTTTTCCTGGTCTCTTCAGGTAAAAGCTCAGATTCTTTGATTTTTGACCCTTTTTCTTTTTCTAGTTTAAGCATTGAATGTTGTACAATTTCATCTAAGCCCTGTTTGGATGTAGCATCTTCTCATTTTCAC